TGGATTGCTTGTGCTTTGTGTGTAGTTTGTATTGCCTCAGTGTCTTATGGTGTTTGAACACTTTATACTGAGAGTAACAGGTTTATTTTATTAGCGTTACAAGTAATTGCAGTCAAATTTAGGGGAATTACTGGGTTTTTTTTGCAAGGAGACCACTAAATAAAATTATCCTGTCAAATTAATTAACATCTTTAAAATGTCAGCTGCACTCATCCAGGTGAAAGTCTATAAATCTATGCTGTGTGTTGCTTATCTAAACCTTGGGAACAGAAGTGTTTCAGATTTGAACTTTTGGGACTTCGGAATAGTTGCATAGACTTTGCCAGTTGAAGATCTGTAATATGAAAATTCAAAATTGGAAATACTCCAAAATTTACTTTTCAAGTGTTGATAAGACACCATAGATGACCTCATGTGACAGGTCATAGTCAGAATTTGAGCACAATAAGTATATTGCATAAAATTACTGTCAGGCTATATATATATGTAAAGTACATATGAAACATAAATGAAGTTTGTATTTAGACTTGGGATTTATATCCAAAATATCTTACTATGTATATGCAAATACTCCAGAATCTGAAAAGATTTAAACTTGAAACACTTCTGCCAGACATTTCTGATAAAGGATATGTATGATTTCATCCCAAAGCATTTTATATAACATGGTGTTTTGATGCATTTTTACTTTGAAAATTTTATTTATCTTTGAAAAGAGTAGTCAACTGATTTATTCCTAAGACAAGCCCTGCACTGATTCTGCATTTATTAGGGGAGGAAACCATAATGGAAAACGTCAACAAATGGAGAAATTTGTGGAATTAGGAATCTGGTAGAATAAATTGATAATTTATTATAGTAGTTGTGAAGTTTGACTAATAAAAGTTGATTTTCTTAAAATAATTTTTTTCTAGAATCTTGATACTCATAAATAGTCATTAAACACTTCTTTGTGTTCCTAGCCAGATGTCACCGTTCTAAGGATGTGTTAGAATGCCATACCTAATAAAGTTGATTTATATAGGCTCTGATAAAATTTGAGCTTTTAGTTAATGCTTGAGTGATTTTAACAGTCTCTTGCAGTGCTTCAATACCTTTGAACTTGCTTCTTTTTTATATCCTCGCCTGTTCTTGAGGTGATTATATTTCAGACCCACATTTTATCTATAAATTTGAGAGTTCTTCATATGAGACTCTAATTAAGGAAATATATTATATGGATTTGACCTTTTGATTTGTCTCCTGTCCTTACTGTCTTTTAGGAGGATGATTAGATGTAGTTTATGTGCTGAGGTTTCAAGTATTGAATGCCTAAGGGTAGGTCACATTTTCATCTAGTTTAAGTATAATTTAGAGGTGTAAAGAATCATTTTTATGACTTAGCAGAGAAATACTTTGCCATCATGGTTCCTTTTTCTTCCCCAATTTACCCTTTTTAGTCACTATAACCAAATCTATATATAGATTGAAATTTATCTCTTATTGCCATGGATTTCAGTTTAGAACCCAATAAACTGATTGCTCATTCTGAAAGGGCAGGCTAAATGTCTAAATATTTGAATTTGACTATCTTGGAAGCAGTTGATCATACAGAGATACTTTTAATTTGGATCCAGCAGTAACACATTTTAAAATTTGATATTGGAAACCTCAGAGAGTCAGAAAGGAAAGAATAAAGTATTACAAAAAGATGTTTTGTGTGTGTTTGTGTGTGTGTGTGTGTGTGTGTGTGTGTGTGTGTGTTTTGTGCAGAGGGGCCAAGTGTGACTTCTACTTTTGTATAGTCATAAATATGTTAACAAGTAATATTTTCTTCGTTTCTAAAGAGTTCACAAAAGATAGTCGTTTCAGCCCAAAGCAGTTGTAATTTGGGGTTATAGAATATGATTTGGTTTAGAACAAGAAAGCTTTTGTGGATAGCACTTACTGACATTCCCTGGTGTGAGTAAGGTTAAATTTCACAACAAGGAGTGTAAGTTATCTGGGTGTATTTCACCCAACCTTACTCACACTGAGAACAAACCATTAGACTGTGGTCAGCTTTGTATTAGAAAACTATGGCCAACAGGCAGTCTCTCTCAGATAAACCAGTACTTTCTTTGCTGCTCTAAATTGTGGATGTAGACTAAGTAGAGTAACGTGGCCCTGTTTTGCCAGATATCTATGGAGCCATTATGATAATCAACTAGAATGGGTACTTTACCCATTCATATAAGTAAAGGGAATCATGTGGCTAGAGGGAGGGCATATACTAGATTTCAGTCAGAATCAGTTCATCCTTCTGACCATTTAATATATCCTAGTTTGTGTCATAGAGCTTTATAGTTTAAGTTTCATGCCCAACGTCTCACTTCTAATTTGATTTAATACAGAAATGGGAAATCTAAGAAAAACAGTTTTCATTGCCTAGTAGTTGCTTATACTATTAATTCATAATCTTTTTTTATCTGTCAAGAAGTGAAAATGCTTGAAAGCGAAATTACAAAGCTGACTTGCTCAAAGTGGTTAAGTGGTTTTTTGTTTTATTTTAATTACTAATTTTCTGGAATTACTCATTCTTCGAATTATATTGCCTTTTCTGAACTATCCAATATTGAAAATGTTCTCGTTTTCCCATGCTTTCATGTGTAATATACTACATCAGTAATGTGTTTAATAAAATAAAGCAGTTTTAAATGAAGTGGTGGTATATGTATGTTCTGAAAAGGAAAAAAAAAGGTCTTTATTTCCCCTAACACCACTCTCCCCACCCAGATTCCAACACTGTCCCTGTCTAGATTACATATGTTACAGGCCATGCCGTACTTTCTTTGAGAGCACTGTTTGGCTTTCATTCTCTACACATTTTAAAATTATTGCTACCCCTCTCATTTATTTGAATACAATCTCTTCTTTACTATCTAACTCATACCTTCTTTGTGTCTACCACAGCCCAGCATTATGTTTTTTCTGTGTGTGCTACTTCTGACTCTTTTTCAGCTGTTACTTGTTTTATCTTGACTGATCTTTTTCCAACCTTTATTGATTATATTAAAAATATTTCATAAATCTTGATTTGTTGGCTAAGTTCTTTTTTTGAGACAGGGTCTCACTATGCAGCTCAAGCTGACCTTAAACTCACTATGTAGTCTTGGCTGGCCTTGAATTTGCAGTGATCCTACTGCCTCAGCCTCCCGAGTTCTAACTTTCAATTTCTGTGAAGGTAGCAATTCTCCCACATTTATATATCCTCATTTAATCTAGTGCCAAACACATGATAGGCACTCCATATTTAATTTTAGTGTAATTGTAAGAAAGAAAAGTGATGGGATATTTTCATTGCATTTAGTATCTTGAACTAGAATATTTATCCTGATTTCCCTTGAGATTAAATTTTGACAATGAAAGAAATATTCTTGAATAATGGAGGTCTGTGTTCATACTTTATTATTGGAAGGCAGGTTCCATTAAAGGATGCTAAATTACCTGCATGTTCTTTGAATAGGAGCAAGTGTCTATAATCTGTGCCCGATAGGGTTTTAAATATTGTGCTTACAACTTCTGCCAACCTTTGAAAAATAATTTGGGTGTGTAGTTGGAGGGAAAACTAGCCTTTAAGTGACTAAGGAGTAACAAATCAACACCCCAGTGGTTGCTAACACACAACATATAAATAATAGGAGAATATGAAGTTTTTCAACTTGAATTACATTACTCTGAGTTAAAAGCAGTAGGTTTCTGTATGCAGAGGTTCAGAGAACAATGTTATATATAAATAGTGAAGCATAGTTTGCTACAGATAGATCAAGTGAAATCTTGTTTCTCTAATGCCTTAGGTGTATGATTCCAAGTATGTTAACCCCTCTGAGCCTGCTTTTTCTCCTACAAAATGGAGACAGTAATAACCTACCTCGAAAGGTTAGTGAGGAGTGAATAAGATACACAGCTAATGCACAAGCACTAGGCATTACATAGCCGCTTGATGAGCATCTAACTGAAGTAGCCTCATTTGTGCTGATTTTGTTCCCGGGTCCCGTATATTAGATACATATTATTTAATATTGAACCTCTTACTTAAATTTTTGCCTTCGTACTATATCATAGCACTTTTTAATGTTTATAAGAAAGTTACTTGTAGTTACAGTTGACTCAGTGGAAAACTGGCCTTTGATAAAAGGATGCAGTCCATAGAATATTTTTTAAAAGAATTAATTCTTTTCTGTTTCACTTCAAAGTAGTAAGTGTGCAGAATTACGTATTGAAAAATATTTCATAAAAGCTTTGAATTACATTAAGACATTGCTGCTAGTTTGACATGTCATATAATTTTCTGAAATTAGTCCAAAGATCTCTAGTTAAGTGAGAAAATAAAGTTTTTCCACCTTAACTAGGGCAATAGTATTATAAATAAAATCATTTTAGTCAGGCTTTTGGAAAACAGAGTTTTCTGACTAAAATCCCCTTTTATTTGAGCCCTTTACATAAATGTTTACAAGTATAATGGTCTACTTTCTTGGCTTAGAGAAATGTATGTATGGGATATAGTAGTCTCTTTGTTTATGGACTGAAGATCTTTCTTTCATCATTCTAAACAACAGTTACTATGGCATGGCACTGTGGATGGCCTTATTCAAAGTGGAGGAGATTAGGCCAAGAGTAATCACAGGATATTTTTAAAAGCTACTGGTCTTCCAGCCCCTCCTCTCTTTCAAATCTCAAGTCTCAGTTTTGCTTTAATTCTCTTATCTCCACTTCTGAATTTGAATGTAGAACATTTTCCTACAAATTGAGATTCTGGTTTCTTAAAACTTAACATTGATTATAGGAGGCTTGGAAGATTATTTAGCCTAGCACCCTGTTTGGTAAATTCAAAACATCTGAGGCATACGTTAACTGATTCGGTCAAGGATATTAAGCAGTTTCTTGAAAAGAAACAAAGATTTAGATTTCCTCACTAAACTGACACTTTAACAGTGTCCCAAATTTTGGTGGTTATCTTTGATCTTCTTTGAAACAGGTAGACCGACACTTGAGAAAGCTGGATCAGGAACTGGCTAAGTTTAAAATGGAGCTGGAAGCTGATAATGCTGGAATTACAGAGATATTAGAGAGGCGTAAGTAACATTTACAGTTTTCCATCAATATTGGACAATACCTGTGCAAATCTCTGAGGAGACACTTGTGCCACAGAAGCTGTTCAGATACTGCCCTTCAATGAATGGTGGCATCCAGGCTGCATTACTTGGAGCCCTGCAGATGTAACTGTTGGGGTCATGGATCCCAAAAGGGATAATACAGGATATCATCTCATTCCTTGTGAATCTAACATTTTGCGCCATTCTGTTTTTAAAATATCCATGGATACTAGTAAGATCATTGGTAAGAAAAAGATTTAAAGAAATAACCAGGAACAAAGGAACCATATGTCCTTAGTGTATTGATTTTTTTCCTTCCTGTTTATGCACGTTGGCTTTGAGGAAGGATGTTAACTTTTCTTCTAAGAACATCTTAAAGTATTTCCGTAACTGTATGTGCTGAGAAATATTCTAATTGCTTCCACAATATTTCGTCTTTTTAAAAGAACTCTTCCTTAAACTTTTTTTTTTTTTTGGTTTTTCTCCGGTACCGGGAACCGAACTCACGACCTTGCGCTTGCCAGGCAGGCGCTTTGCCACTGAGCTAAATCCCCAGCCCCTCTTCCTTAAACTTTTATCAGCGGGAAGTCATGGAAATATTTCTTTGCAAGGCTCAATTTAATCTCCTGCTTATAACTTATCTCTAAATATTCTTGGGTTTAACTCAGGAGACTTCTCAAAAAAGGAAGCATGAGCTCTGTTTTTTAACCAACTTGCATCTTTTCCAATCCAAATAGGTGAGGTACAGAAAATTAGATAGGGTGGTGCTAGGCCTAGAGAATGCATTCACTACATGTTAATAAAACCAAATTAATATTATGGCCAATTTCTATTAGAATATAATTAAGGTGTGCAAATTTATCTTTTTCCTAGATGAATTTCAACAGCAAGTATGCATTACCTGTTTCTACTTACAGATATGAAAGATTTTTGACAATGCTAGGCTATGTATCTTTCTGTTTATGTGCTGACTCTAGATCAGGGAGAGAAGCCAGTCACCAATTTCATTTTGATATACATAGTTGCATTTTTAAGTTCAAAATACATCCATCACTTTAGATAATCCTCTAATTTATTTGTGATACTTTTAGTCTGAAGGTCCCCTGTCTTAGGGTAATAAGTATTTAGGAATAGAATAAAATATTCTATGCAGCTGCTTTGATTTTTTTGAAATGTTGATATAGTTGAGAATAATAACTCATGCCTATTCAGTACTGCAGGAAGGTTAATAAAGCATCCTCTCTAAGGACACAGACATATAAAACTAAATTGGATCAAGTTATAAAAACTGCTCCATCCTGTGCCCTGCCATAATTTCATCTCAAGGGATTAAAAACACAACCCAGAGAATTTCTCTTAAGGTATTTGAAGCTTGGTGTTAGAGAGTCTATATTGCTCACTTTTTGCAAGCAAAATCCCTAACTTCTTTTAGAAGGTGTTTGCTATATGTCATTTTAATATCAAAGAATTACCTTTCATATAGTAATGTCCCTATCCCCTAGAACTTCAGAATTTCCTACTAAAAGGTCTTCAAATATGTTATACTAGGTTGAGTGTTTTAGGTTTTATCAGTGATGGGATTTAATGTCCTTTCATCCATTTACATGGCACCTGCTATGGTGAGTTCCCTAATTAGATATTAGTATGTCTTGAGCCATTCTATATTTAAGGTGAATATTGGCAAGTGGATTTCCTATGATGTGGAGACAGGATAGTGCAAGGCGGAATTGGCAGTGGTGACCCTCCGATTTGTCTTGCTAACATGACAGGCATTTACATCAAAGCTTGCCAGTCTTCTGCTGGGTAAGGGAACCCTTTGCCTGTAGCAGTTGACGTATAAAATTCTGTGGTGACATTTCATGGTGGTATGTCTCTGTCTCTCTTTTTAGGATCTTTGGAATTAGATACTCCTTCACAGCCAGTGAACAATCACCATGCTCATTCACATACTCCAGTAGAAAGTAAGTTTGGTTTATTGGAGCTACAGTTAAATACTGTAATATGTTAAATACTTAGATCTTTAACTATAACTAAAAACTTGTGAATATTACCTCTGTATTCTTTTATCACTTGTACATAACCACTTGAGAAATAATCTTTCCTCCTACCATGCGCACGCACGCATGTGTGTGTTTATGCGTGTGTTGAAATATATCTTCATTGCCATTCTTGGCAGACCTATCATTTTCTTTGGGAAAGGCGTATTTGACTTAATGTACACCCTTTGTCTTTTTCATGCTTAGCCCAATGTTGGACATACAATGAGCATGATTGGTGACTTAGTGAATAAAGGAATTGAGGCTGACAGGCTCATTGACTGTATTGGTACGTTTTTGACAGATCAATTTGATAGGAAAGAAGAGTTGATTGAAAACTACTCTTTAATGATAGATAACATTTTGAATTTGAAAATTCCCCTTATGTAATACGAGCAACCATGGCACACTGTGGGTTATCTTCAATATTTTACTTTTAAAAAGTTTTTAAATATCTGAGAACATGCAAATAAAGCATGTGATACAAAAAGTGCTTGTTCTGTCTTCTGAGAAAGTGTAATGTTTTGCATTTCATGAGGAACCCAGACTCCTTGGTAACTATACTCACTTATAACTGGATGGAAGTATTATGCATTGTCCATGGCTGTCTGCAGTTTAAAAACACACAGATTCTTTATTTATGTTCAGAAAGGAAATATAACCCAACTTCTCACCATACAACAACAGATCATATTCCTGAAAAGAAGTTTAAATCTGAAGCCCTTCTGTCCACCCTCACATCAGATGCCTCTAAAGAAAATACTTTGGGTAAAGTTATTCTCTTAAATATGACTTTTTGTTGTGTTTGAATAAATGGAAATGAAAATATTCGAGGTTAATGAATCATACAGTTTTGTTACCTGGTTAAAGTCTGCATGTGGAGAAAGAAAAAAAAGGAAAAGTATATTACATTTGACTCAGTCTATAGTATGTGAAACTTAATAATTTTATCTGTGTTGGAAAAAAATGTATTTTAAACTCAGTAATGTTATTCTGCAACCATTTTTTATTTCTTCCATACAGGTTGTCGAAATAATAATTCCACAGCCTCTTCCAATAATGCTTACAACGTGAATTCTTCCCAGCCTCTGGCATCTTATAACATTGGCTCGTTATCTTCAGGTAGTGGTGCAGGAGCAATTACCATGGCAGCAGCGCAAGCAGTTCAAGCTACAGCACAGGTAAAAAGGAACAAGTTTAGAGACAAAATGCTGTATTTTGTCTGAATCATTGGCAAACCCCTTGTAGAAATGAATGAATGTGAACAAATAGTTTTCTTACATTGTAGTTCATTTTTAAATGTAGTTTTAGGACATAATATTTAATGAATTAATACATAGGAATTACGGACTGATAATGAAAAGTACATATTTTGTTCCTTGTGCAGGTCACAGGTCCCCTTCTCACAGTAATTGCTTGTGTTGCCGCACGCTAGGACAGTCCTCTGTCCTTTCTACCACTTCCCAGGCTTTTTCTGTACCCTAAGGACTGGAGTTTGTTCATTTCTGTAGTAGGTCTGCATTCCAGATTGAGAAGTGACCCTTTCTATAGTTACTCCCTAATTGTTTAAAAACTGATTTTACATTTTTCCATGAAATAGCTGAGATGTTAGTGAGGAAGGTAATACTTTAAACAAAATGGTAGGTAAACAAAAATAATATTGTAACATAAAACTTGAAAAAATATGTGTTTACATGTTTTAATGCTGCAAATGATTGTCTATTTAAGATGAAAGAAGGACGAAGGACATCAAGTTTAAAAGCCAGTTATGAAGCATTTAAGAATAATGACTTTCAGTTGGGGAAAGAATTTTCAATGCCCAGGGAAGGAGCTGGCTATTCATCATCTTCAGCTCTTATGACAACATTAACACAGAATGCCAGCTCATCCACAGCCGACTCCCGGAGTGGGCGGAAGAGCAAGTAAGTTCGCTGTTACAGCAGCCTGTCCCTGTGGTTGGTCCTCAGCCTGTTTTCCATCTCGGCTGAGCCTCTATATTACACAACACAGGGTGTGATGGGGAGAGGTGAAGTTTTCATTTCACTGTCATACTTTAAAGGAATAAAGGCCTTTAAAAAGTGTTAGAGTTGCTTATAGTTTTCCAGTCTTAAATTGAGTTTGTTAAAAAATGACTTAGGTTTGCTTGCTTTTTTCATTAGGCCATTTATAGGACTGTTTTTCATTTATACCTTCCTAGGTGCATATGTTTCAAGGTAAATACATAAAATGCAAATTATATCCTGGGAATTTAAAAGATTTTCTTTCATTTTTGCTCAATTATAGCATATCTTAATGTTTGTTCTTCTGTCCCAAAAATTGATGATATGAACATGTCCCTAGAGTGTATGTATGAGACTCTTAAAATGTTGTATGAGCTTTAACTCATATGAAAACTTAACAGAATTTGGTACCATCTGTCTTGGGTAATTAAATATGCTAGGTGTTTATACATAATGAAAGTTCAAATATCAGGCCAAAAGATGAGTTAGCTAATCAGTATATTATAATAATTTATTTTTAAATATATTTTCTGTCCATATACCCCTAAAAGAATGATTGTAAAATAACCATAGAACTGTCATTCATCTTAAAAATGAATTAATCTTAATGATCCAAATTTAATAAAACTGCCTATGGTAAGTTTCTGTTCTATAGTTTTAAGATTTAATTAGTGTAGAGCTAGTGGTGAATAATTTGTGAGTTTTGATACTCTTTGTTTCCTGTACTACATGTGGGAAGGATTCACACATCAGTAAATAGTCACAATTATTTTCATGATATGCTTTTGTATATCTGTTTGTTAGATTTTGGTAAGTATTCTTACTTACCAGTAAACTTACTCAGTTTACTTAGAGATAAAAAATATCTGTAAGGTAGTCATAACTCATACAGTATTCTTAAAAGTATTATATTGTGTATAATTTAAATCTATGGTAACA